TGAGTTCAAACCCCTGTCCCACCAAAAAAAATAAGATAAAAAAATCCATAAGATATCCAATTACATTCAAGTTACAGAAAAACAAATCATTTGTCTAGTATAAGCGTGCTTTATGTTTTTCTGCTGCTTTTGCCAGTCCTATGCATAATACATGCTTCTTGAGTGAATGTTGCTTGAGTAAACGACACCAGAAGATGCAATCCAGAAATTCTAGACAAGAGATAATCTAGTATCTTTTTGTTGTTGTTGTTGTTTTGTTTTTTGTTGTTATTTTGGCAGTACTGGGGTTTGAACTCAGGGTTTCATGCTTGCTAGGCAGGCACTCTACCACTTGAGCCACTTGGCCAGCCCTGTTTTGTATTGGGTATTATTGGGACAGGGTCTTGAGAATTGTTTGCCCAGTCTGGCTTCAAATCACCATTCACCAGCCCTTTTTTTTTTTTGCAGTACTAGGGCTTGAACTCAGGGCCTACATCTTGAGCCACTCCACCAGCCTTTTTTTGAGATAGGGTCTCCAAAACTATTTGTCTGGGCTGGCTTTGAACCATGATTCTTCTAATCTCTGCCTTCTGAATAGCTAGGATTACAGGTATGAGCCACCAGCACCCGGCCTGATTTTTTTTTTTTTTAAAGGGAATAGGGGAGGGATAAGAGGACACTGGCTGTGAGTTGGTAAGTGATGAACCTGGGTATTGGGTACATGAAGGTTTTTTATATGCTGTTTAATTTCATATAGGTTTGAAATTTTCCACAATGAAACACTTTTTTTTCTTTGAGGTACTGGGAATTGAACCCAAGACCTGCAGTATGCCAAGTGAATGCTCTAATGACTGAGCTACATCCCCAGCCCTTTTGTTTTTATTTTGTTTTATATTATTGTTTTTGTTTTGCGGTACTGGTGCTAGAACTCAGGGCCTACACCTGAGCCACTCCACCAGCCCCCTTTTTTTGGTGATGGGTTTTTTTCCAGATAGGGTCTCTAGACCTATTTGCCTGGGCTGGCTTTGAGCCATGATCCAGATCGCTGCCTCCTAAGTAGTTGGATTACAGGCATGAGCCACCAGCACCCAGCTTTATTTTGTTTTTGATATAAAGTCTTGTTAACTTTTTCTGGGCAAAGGACAAAATGTCCTTTGCCTCCTCCTCCAGAGTATGTGGGATTACAGGCATGCACCACCAAAACACATTTTTAATTGCCTGATGGAAGGTGCTAATTCTGTTTTACAGATGAGGAAACTAAAGCTTCCAGGGGTTAAGTAACTTGCCCTGAAGCCACACAGCTGGTAAAATGATGAGTCTGCAATGTGAGCAGACCACTCTGAGTCCAGAAGTAGAGCTATTACCCATAGGAGGTGGAGTATGATGGGGATTATGCCAGGGGGTGATGCAGCCCTGCTGGGTTGGAACAGTCTGAATTAAGGAGTTATGGAAGCAGGAATGGCTGACATGGCGGTGGCCAGGCTGTGGTAGGGTCAAGAAATGGCTTCTCTCTTAGATTCCTCATTGAGGGGATTATAATCCCAGCTACTCTGGAAGCAGAGACAGAAGGATCAAGAGTTCAAAGTCAGTCTGGGCAAAGAGGGTGAGACCCTATCTCAAAAACAAAAATAAAAGGGCTTGGGGTGTCACTCAGTGGTACAGTGTTTGCCTAGCATGTGCTAAATCCTGGGTTCAACTCTGGCCAATAAAAACCAAAAAACCTATTGGGATGGATGGCTGGGGCAATTCCCTGCAGTGCCTACTAAGGGAAACTAGACAGGTCCCTACTCCAAAATCCTCAAATTTGGTCTTTTCTGCCTTGGGTGAGAACTAGATGGGCAGGGAGAGGGGAAGGCTGGCTTTGAGGCTCCCAGGGATGCTTTCTATCCCCTACTCTGGAGGTGTCAGATGGAACCCTATATCTGTCAGAGAAGGCAGCCGCCCCTCTCATCTTTAGTAGGCTGAGGACAGGATCGGGTGTCCTCTACTGGAGGTAAAGGGAATTGCAGTAGTTGGACCAGCTCATGTGAGTGTTTCAGTCTAGGTGACAATGTTGTGAGGAAGCCACAGCTGTCCCCTTCACTGACAGGGACATAGAGACTCAGAGTGTCTAGGTGACCTGCTCAGGGTTGCACAGCTGCCCGCCTGTCCAAACCCTCTGAGGAAAAGTGGCTCGATGACCCCAGGTCCCTTCAGCTAGAGGACGCACCCACTACTTGCATCCCCTCTGCTGTATGTGGGTGATTAAAGGAAGGGAAGAAGGGGAAGTGGAGTTGGAGAGAGGATTCCTTCTCCCAGGAAGAACTCTCAATAGCACTGACCCCTCATTAAAGCCTTCCACTCAGACTTAGGGAGCTGGCAACATTTGGACTGGGAGTAGGAAGAGGTCCTTGATCTGCACCGTTATATAATAGTCACTCATTTATTTCCAGGGATGGTTATCTTGAGTGTTCTCTCCTCATGTTGACACTGCTGGTGCAGCTAGGTGCAAGAATGAAAATAAGAGTGAGAGAGTGTCCAGGGGATATAAGGAGCTTTCCAGCCCAGGTTCTCGCAATGGGCCCAAGCCCCATCCCCAGGCATCTCAGCTACAGAGGCTGGAGAAGAACTGGAGTGGAGCAGACACCTCTGTGCCCTCCAAAAAAAGAAATGTGGCATCACTTCCCTCTGCCATTCCTTAGCCATGAACATCACCCTTCCAGAACTTCCCTCCTGTGTAGGGTGGGGCAATGTGTAGGACCTGGCAGGACCCTGGGGATCTCTGTCATGACAGTTGCCCTGGAGTTATTTCTGCAGAGGACATCTGGGGTGTTTTGAGGAACAGTACACCTCCCCCCCATCCCTCAAACCCTAGCCCCAGTTTGGGTCTTACCTTGGTTCTCTGCAAAAGGGAGGTGGGGAGACAGACCCCTCCAATCCCTTGTCTTCCAGATGCTATCTGAAATCATTTAAGAAAACAGTGCTCCTATTGTCACTACTGGGAGGGCAAGGATGTTCAGAAACCCTCTCTTACATTTGCTTATAATCCCAGCACTGGAAAGTTGAGGTAAGAGGATTGAGAGTTTCAAGTCAGTTTGGGCTACGTAGTGAGACCTTGTCTCAAAAGAGAGAGAGAGAGACAGAGAGAGAGAGAAAGAAAGAAAGGAGGAGGAGGAGAAGAAAGTTCTTCCTTTTGCCTTGACCCCAGAAGGAGATAATCTATGTCTTCCCCCCAGCATCCTCCCACTCCCTTATTCCAAGCCATTATACCAATCTCTTGTATTTCTGCAAACGGAACGCAGTTGAATTCCAACAACCCTATTTTTTATTAGTGTAATTGTACAAAGGGTTTCATTGTGCTATCTCCATACATGTATATAATGTACTTTGATCATATTCACCCTGTATTACACTTTCTTATCTCCCTACCAACAACCTGATTTTTTTATCAAGAGAATTATCCCAGGGATTCCTTCATCCATTCACTTATTCTTTCACAGATACTTATTGAGCACCTATTATGTCTGGGCAGAGGCAGTAGTAGGGATGTTGCAACGATCAAGACAAAGTATTTTGCTTGCTCATGGGCTCTTCTGGACAATCAGGACATCAACTCAATCCCAGACTAGTGGGAGAGACAGACATTGAGGAATAAACACAGTCACAGCCTTTCACATAAAGGTAAGCTATGCAGGAACTAAAGGATAGGGAGACAGAATGTGCTGAGGAGTGTGCTGCATTATCAGAGTATTTAATAGGAATCCGCTTTGCTTTGCTTTCTCTGCGGGACTTCAGAGACAGGGTCTGTGTGTCTCCTCCTCTGGCCTCAACTCATTTTGGCAGGTTCGGACTCAAGCAGAATCCTGGGATTGAGGGCTGTTTCTCGGCAGACAGCCCTTGGAATTCCGTTATTGGGGAGGTTATTTAGATGCTGCATCAGAGAAATGGAAACAGGTATTGAGAAAATCTTCTTATCGTCTTCCGTGGGTGTAATAATAATCCCTACTCCGAATTCCTTTTTTCCTTTATGCATCTTGCACATACGTACTAAATTTCTAACTACTCTCTTACAAACTTCTTTTTTTGAGTTCACTGTAGTTCAGGCACTGTTCTAAGGGCCGTACAGAAAAGGAAATTCTCTGCTCATAGGAGTCCTTGCTGCGCAAAATTTATAAGCCACCATCTTCTCGTTTATCTTTTCCCTCAACATTGTGTTCATCTATGTCAATTTACGAAGCTCCATTAGCCCTAAGAGAGCAGATATGAACGTTCCCATTTCGCAGATGTGGAAAAACTGTGACTGCTAAAGGCAAAAACGACTTGTTAGCAAGGACTTAAAGCCAGGACGCCACCGAGCCACGTGCGGCGGCGCGTCTGGCCCCTCGCTATCCCACCCGCGCACGCTCCCTCCTTCCCTCCCTCCCAGCCGCGCCGGGTCCACGTGTGTGTGTCTGTGTGCGGAATGGGGACGGGGGCGGTGCCGCCGGAGGGGTGGGGTCGGGGCTAACGTCACGGGCAGTGCTGCCCAATCAGCGGCGGGCTCGCGGCCGCGGCTCTGGTATTGGGGCAGCGAGGGGGCAGTTCTCTATAACGCGGTCTCCGGGAGCCAGCGGGGAAGAAAGAAGCCGAGAGGGCGGAAGGCGCCCTCCCCGCCGCCTGGGCCCGGGCACCGGGTGCCGGGCTGGGGTCCTTCCCGCCTCCCGCAACCGCCGGCCGCTTTGTTTTCCGAGCCTCAGTGCTTCGGGCGTCTGGAGAGGGTCTCCCGCCGGGGCTGCTCAGAGAACGCGGCTGCAGGAAGGGCGAGTGACCACATCGGGACTCGTAGGGACCCAGGAGTCCGGCCGCCCGGAGGGCCGCGTGACGAGATCGAGGAGGGAGCCGGAGCGCCGCGGCCCCAGGTGGCGGGCCGGGGGCGCCCGTGAGCAGAGACCTCCCCGTCGAGGGGGGGCGATGTTCCCCTCGCCCGTGGGCTCTTCGTGCAGCCCGGGCATCCCGCCGTTGGGACCAGGGCCCCCTCAGCGGGCACACCTCCGGGCTGCTCCATGGAGACTTTGTGCCCTACTCCCCGCCTGGCAGTGCCGGCGTCCCCACGAGGGTCCCCCTGCTCCCCCACTCCCCGGAAGCCGCGTCGGGGGACCCAGGAGTTCTCTCCGCTGTGCCTGCGTGCCCTTGCCTTCTGCGCCCTTGCCAAATCCCGGGCGTCCGCACTGGGCCTGGGACCTGGGGAACCGGCGCCGCGGGCCCCCGTGCTGCTGGGCCCTCGCGCCTCCCCGTGCACCAGCAGCTGGGCCCCGGATGACCTGAAGCACCTCGGGGGGCAGGCCGGGCGGTTCGGCGACCCGGACTCCCCGGAGGGCGAGGATGCCGACGTTGCCGTGTGCCCGGGCGGCGGCGAAGAGGAAGAGGGCGGAGGCAGTTTCCCGCACTTCGGTGCTCGCTCCTGCGCACCTCCCGGCCGCTGCCCGGCGCCCTGGCGTCCCCAGGAATCTGCGACAAGCTTCTCCTTGTCTCCGCCTAGGCCAGCGCCGGGTCTCGAGTCCCAGCCCGATCCAGCCGCCAGCCCGCCTCAGGAGCTCGGTTCCCGGCCTCCGCCGCCACCTGCGGGCCTCTCCACCGAGCCCAAGACTCCGGAGCGGTCCCCTCCGGGCCAGGCAGCCGCAGTCGATGGAAATCCCCCGCCTGCCGCCCCCGAGGCATCAGCCGTTAGCCCCTCGACGGCCAGCGCAGCCCCGGCCGCGCCCGGCGATCTCCGCCAGGAACATTTCGATCGTCTCATCCGCCGGTCGAAACTTTGGTGTTATGCGAAGGGCTTCGCCCTGGACACTCCGAGTTTGCGCCGGGGACCGGAGCGGCTGCCAGCGAAAGGGCCGGCCCGGGGAGCCAGCAAGAAACGCCGGCGGCCGGCGCCGCCCCAGCGCAGAGCGCAGCCCCGCCGCCCCGCACCGACTCTCCCCACCTCGAGCACCTTCAGCCTCCTCGACTGCTTCCCCTGCCCCCCGTCCCTGGTGGTGGGCGAGGACGGAGATTTAGCGCCGGCATCCTCACTTCGCCTGGGAGACGCTAAGCCGCCGCCTGCCCACCCGCTGTGGAGGTGGCAGATGGGGGGGCCCGCTGTCCCTGAGCCCCCCGGACTCAAATCCTGGGGTTTCAACCTGGAATAACATTGAGCCTGGGACCTCTTATGGCAAGAGGGAAAGTTGAAGACACCGCCAACTGGGGGCTCAAGGAGAGAGCCTCGTTTCCCGTATTTGTCCCCATCCTTTACGTTTTATGGGCAGTGAGCAGAGGGACCTCAAATGACAGTCAAGCACCTAAGAGGTCGGGGTGACGTTCCCTCCAACTCACTCATCTTTGCAGAGGAACGAAGGGATGGAGTCGGGACGCGGCTTAAACGAAGAAGACCGAATGACACGGATTCCAATCTCTACTCCTCTTCGGCTCTCTGGGGGCTGGGCCTTCACCCCAGGGGAGCAAGAAGGCCACCGCTCAAAGACCAAAAAAAAAAAAAGGGACAGAGGGACCTTCGTGATGGACAAACCGGTTGTTTCTGTGTCTGAGGGCAAGCCTGGGGGTGTGGAGCTGTGGTGGGGGTGGGAAGGTGATTGGCAGCTCCCTGGGGGCATCCCCCACCCCCACCGCCCAGACCTTTAACCCTTCACTCCCCTCCGCCTTCCCAAGCCTCCTAGCGCTATCGAGTCGTAATGGGGGAAGGAGGAACATAACCTCTTTCCTGTTATCCTCTAGCCCCTCTCTCGCCCCCCGCAAGTTCAGGTGACCCCCCCTAATTGGTGAGCTTCAGTGTCAGTCACCAAACTTTCCCTTTTGTCCTGTTTTGGAGTTTCCTTTTCAATTCTCCGTTTGCTTCCGGTTCTTAAGGTCTGTTGGGTGAAAGAGAACCCTTCCACCTTGGTAAAACGTCCCCCTCCCCCAGCTGGTTTCTCCTTTGAAGGGCAGGGCCGAGGGACCTCCTCTCCCCGGGCACACTTTGCCTGGGGAACCGGCCTTAGATTGTCCCAGGGAAAGTAATGGAAGGTGGAAAAAATCAATAAAATCAGACCAAACAAGTCGCCTTTCGAGGTCCTCGCCACCGATTTCTGGATGGGCGGGGGTTGGTAGTAGAGAACTGGCCCAGTGCATTCTTTGGACATCCATACTTAGCCCCCTTACAGAATGGAGACAAAGCAAGCCGCAAGGGAGTAAAGAAAAGAGCTGTTGGCCTAGCCACAAGGGTCTCCTGGATCGCGAAGGGGCAAAGTTGGGTTTGGATGGGGCCTGGGCAGGGCTACCTTCCCTTCCTCTGATAGCCTCTGGCATCTCGGGAGTTGTCAGCGATCTGATGGATCCGAAGGGGGCAGGGCCGGGGGATTAGGTTTGGGGTCAGAGGTTGTGTTTTCCGGGCGGAGGGGAGATAGGCCTGGACCACGCCTGGCCCAGGAGGGCTCCCTGAGTCGAAGCAAGGAATAACTTTCTCCTCGGCTCAGGTGAGATCTGGGAAGACCAGGTCTAGGGAAGAGGTGTGAAGGGCAGCTGAACTTTCAGATCTGCCCACACTGCATAACCGAATAGCGGCCCCTCTTCCCCCAAAAACGGGATGAGGGAGAAACAATTTACATGGGACACTGGGGAAGGACTTGTTTCCTTTTCTGTGAAAATGCTTTGTAAAAAGTTGTTACTGTTTGTATAGGGCAGATTCTTGAGAAAAATTGTTTTGGACCACAAAAGTTGTTTGTTTTCAAAGCTGTCTCATTTCATTTTTCTTTCCTGGGAGGGGGAGGGTGGAGGTGGGGAAGGCCTGGGGTGGGCACCGCCCTCTTTTAAACATCTGGCCTTTATGAACCCTGCTGACCTTCCCACCCCCTCCCCCCTCCAGCTGTGTGGTGAGGAGGGGGAAGGAGGGGTGGGAGAGGAGAGTGCCTTCCATTCTGTGGTGCTTCTGGGTATCTTCTGTTTCCCCCAAGAATGGAGGAGGTGAGGAATAAGGCAGACCCCTGGGGGCGGGGAGAAGAAAATCACTCTGAAGATGGGAAGATGTTTGCAAGGGGATATTGGGAAAGACAGACACCCCAGTTTTCAAAAGTTAATTGCTTTTGGTGATGTGGTCCGTGTGGGCTTTGCAGCTCTGGACTAGGGAGGAGGGCATACCGGCTTGAGGCCTCTTAGGCTCCCTTACCCAGAGGGACAAGAGGTGATGGGGTAATTTGTCTCCCCTCCCTCCCACTGAAACCTGTAAGAGGCTGTCAGTTTAAAAAGAAAATCTTTTGGAGACTCACAGCTATAGTAAGCATCCCTAGAAACTTCGAGTCATTTTACAGAAGTAGAGAACTGAATTCGTTTTCTAGGGCTGGGATAGCAAATTACCACAAACTTGATGTTTTAAAAACTGAAGTTTTGGTGGGCGCTGATGGCTCAAGCGTGTAATACTAACTACTTGAGAGGTTGAGATGGATTGGGAGGATTGAGGTGCAAAACCAGCTCAGGCAAATAGTTGGCGAGACCACATCTCCAAAATGGACTGGAGGTGTGGCTCAAGCGGTAGAGAGCCTGCTTTGCAATCATGAAGCCCTGAGTTCAAACCCCAGTTCCACCAAAAAAAAAAACCCCAAAAAACAAAAAACCCAGAAACAAAACCCTGTTTATTCTCACACACTTACAGAGGCCAGAAGTCTTGAAATTAAGGTGTCATGGTGCTGTGCTTTCCCTCCCACTCAAGGCTTTTAGGGGAGAGTCCCTTCCTTTTCTCTTCCAGTTTCTAGTGGTCCCAGGCAATCCTCTTGCCTTGTCTTCACGTGCTCTTTTGATCTCTTAAAAAGACACTTGTCCTTAGAGACCACCCAATAATCCAGGGAGATCTCACCTTGACATCCTTTATCTCATCACATTTTGACATTTTAAGACCTCTAATTAAGGCTGCATTTTCAGGTTCTGGGGGGGCTAAGGGTTAGGATATAGACATCTTTTTGGGTTCTACCAACCTGCTACAGAAACCTAGCGTCCAGACTGCTTATAAAGCAAGTTGCCTCGAACTTGGGGCAGGGAGGGAACGTGTAAAGGAGTGAGCATCGGGGCTGGAGTGGGCATGGCTTTCTCTGACTCCAGGCTTGCAGGATGCTGGGACTCCCCTCTCCCAACAGTGCACCAGAGCCCTGGTAGAGCCAAGGAAGCCTGCTGTCATCCCAGGTTTCCTAAGCTCTGAGTTCCCTAGGTGTTCATAGCCCTGCTTCCTCCCCTCCTCTTCAGGGCGCCGAGGTCTCTGGTCTTGGTTTCTACTCCTTTCCTTTCTGTCTCCAAGGGTTTTCTCTCCCTCAGCCTCTGGGTTTCTGGCCCTCCTCTGCAGGGTCTCTTCAGGGTCCCTAGAGTGACACTTGTTTTGGTCTTCCCTACTTACCACCTCCATCCTCCTGACAGCCTCAGCTGCCTCCACACCCTCTGCCTCAGGCCTGCCTTCTCAGCCTGACTTCTTCCTGAAACCGCTCTGGTAGGGTCCCTGTGACAGCCCCACCCACAGATTCAATGGCTGCTTCTCTGCTCTGAGACTGGGTTTCTCCATGGCCTATGACCCTCACAGACATTCCCAAGGTTGTCCTGTCCTAGTTCTCTCTCCAATAGTCCCTCCTCAGGAAGCTTTAAAAACAGGGAGCCCCATGATGTCCAGGGACTTGTCTCCCCTCCCCTGCCCGACAGGAGTCCCTGTCTCCCCTTCTTCAGCCCCTCAACTAATTTTGGCTTCATATCTCCAAGTGGACACTGGTAGGTTGTCCTCTCCCGATTGGGCACCAACTTCTTCATCTCTGCCTCTGCCCACATCAGTCCTGGTCAAGTCCCTATTCTGGTTACTGTGCTCTCTTTCTCCCCATCACGCCCCTTTCTCCCCATCACCTGCCCAAGACTCAGCACCTTGAGTTCTCAGGCAACTCTTCCCATTGGAGCCTCCTATTTCTGGCCTCCCGGGGTTCCTTGCATCCATAGTCTCCGCTTGAGCATGGCTTAGTGCCCACTACCTCCAACCTGGACTGTTGCAGTAGGCACCTAAGTAGTTTCTAGCTGTCTGGTTTTTCACTAATCTCCTCCGATCAGTTACCATCTTACTCAGTGGGTCCCCTGATTTTATTAAAGGCAGCCTCCTTGACTTGTCACTTGGAGACCTCGCTTGTGAGACCTTAACCCCCTGGCCTAACATCAGCCACTTTACTTCACTTTGTACACAGTGTGGTCTACCGAACTGAAATGCAGTTCCTCCCCCAGCCACCCACCCTTCCTTTACCTTCTCCAAAGGCCATTGGAAATGCCAGCTTTTCCTGGAGTCTTCTTTGATTATCCCAGTTGGATGTGACCCGTGCCACTCCTAGACACTGTTCGGGTCTTTTGTGTGACTGTGGAGTGCTGGGGGAGAGTAAGGCTTTGGAGCAAACACTCCCCTCCCCCTCCCTGTGGGACACCAGTTGGTGTCCTTCTGAGAGAACCTTCTGACCTGTCTTCATTTCATGGCCTTGGCTCTGAGAGTCACTCTGTAACGCCACTTCAGAATCACTACTGCAGTTATAAAACCTTCCAGAGAAGACACTACCCAGTGTGCCAAGTCCCCTACGTAGTGTTTGCATTTTCTTTAATTTAAGATAAAAAGCTAGATAGATAAAAAGCTAGATAGATAGATAAAAAAGATAAAAAGAGGGTTATAATCATTTGTGAATTTTTTCTTAATCCTCTCTACAGTTATCCTGTAGCTGTGCTTCTAGGTCCTGGATCTGTGCCTGTACACAGCAGGCAGCTAATGAATGCTTGCCCGATGAAGAGTGCATATTCAAAAGGCTTATTGAAAGGACCGCACATAGCCTAGCAAGTGGCACTTGGCCAAAATGCAATTCCAGATTTTGTCCACTAGATGCTGCTGTCTACTAGCACCAGAAGGAGGGCAACTGGCTGGAGAAGACCCTTGTGGGGAAGGGATTAATTCTTTTTTTTTTTTTTTCCTTTTTCTTTTATTATTCATATGTGCATACAAGGCTTGGTTCATTTCTCCCCCCTGCCCCCACCCCCTCCCTTACC